TACACATTTCATAAGCGCGATTATAAAAGTAAGAGGAGAATCACTTCAATTGAATCGCACAATAGATAGAATCGACAGACATATGTGTTCTCTTAGCAACTTAAACCAAATAAAAAATATTTATCAATTCATTGCAGTATGCCCAGTTCTGAGGTAATTTCGAATAAAATACTTTGGATACAATACTTTAGCTTATAATGAATTCCTTGATATGATGAATGGAGAGGATCTGAATGCAACCTACACATTTACAAACATATCACTAAGGTATAAAGGATCCCTGATAAAAGAATTTAATTCAGAACCATTATGGTAATCTGTAAAATATATGGACATTATATATGTGTGAGTGTGTATGTGTGATATAAAAGTTGTCGAGGATTATACATAATAATTTTGATAATAATGTTTAACTCCAGCGCTTTTATTTCTGTTTATATTTTCATAAATGTGTACTGAACTGTTTTTACTACCAAGATATGGTACAGCTGATTCCAAGCAGATGGACGATTTCCATACTTCTTTATTGTGTATATATACATATAAATTATGTAATTTAATTTGGAGAGAATGTATACATTTATTCATCATTTGAAATAAATGTTGTTTAATTTACAATAAAGTAGTTGGTAATGGCTTAAATTAAATATATTTCTTAAGTTATCACTTCCTATTAAACAAAAAACATGACATACTAAAAAAAGCACAAAGCTTGGATGTCCTGCTTGGAGATCTGCTATCACTCCTACAAAAAATTGTCTCTAATTATGTGACAACCTATATATATATATATATATATATATATATATATATAGAGAGAGAGAGAGAGAGAGAGAGAGAAGTTTAATATATGTGCAAATGGAAGATGCTAAGACTGTCTATGTGTCCCTGACCTGAGCTTTTGAGGCTCAATTTTAAAACATTGAAGAGGATCCCATTGTTAGCATATACAGCATATATTCAGATTCAAAATAAGCATGGAAATACTGAACATTACATTTAACATTATTCAAACATATTTAAATATTTGATATGGCAATAATTAATCAATATAACTGGTTTCTGTTCTCACATTTTTGTAACAAGAGGGTTGTTAGAGGATAGGATGAGAATGTGCAATATTTGGTTCAAAACTGTTTTATTTATTTATTTTTTGTCATTTTTAATTATAAGACTACGCTATAATTGGGCTTTGCCCAACACAGCATTTTTCTTTCATAGGACATCACGTTCTGTATTTTAAGTAGTTTTTCTTACCTAAAACATTTCGCCTTCCACTAAATGTGCATATTTTTTTCTCAGTGGAAATTTAATTTTCATGATTATATCATTAATTATAATTATAATCCATTTGAGTTCATATTTACAATAAGTACTTCTTAAGTAAGAAACAAAAATTGATTCAGAACTGGGAAAGAAAAACTTTTTTTGCTAATACAATTCAGAGACTATTTTAAAAAAGTTTTATTTAAAAAAAATACTATTTTATTTTAAATTTCATATAAAATTAAACATTTTCACTATTTTTATAGGAAAAATTTCTTATAGTAATTATTTTAAATATAACTGGTTTAAAACATAAAATTATATATTAATAAGTGTAAATCTGTAGATTAAAATTCAAATGATTGTTATAAGTAATTCTCCATTTCCATTTTCTATCAAATTTTAGTTAATGATATTCAATTAAAAATGTCCATTTGAATGTTTTAAACATTCTTTTTGGTTATATTTCATTTAAATTATTTTATTTTTTAAAGTTTGTGATTTTCACTTTTATGCTGCTTTTTCATTTAATCTATAAAATTTAAAGAAAAAAAAATGAAATGTTTAATTGGACAAAAATAATTATTTATTTCTCCCTTATTGATACTATCATGAAACTATTTTTTACATCAGAATAAATGTAAAAAGTTAGTTGACACTTAGTTTGTTATCTCTTTTCTAATTCTTCAGTTAGAATATTTTTCTTTCATAATTCTTTATCAATTTATATTTCTCTCTTTCCTTAACAATTCTAAATTCTTAAAGACATTAATATTGTCATTTCATCAGAAAGGCTTAACCTTTACATTTCTAAATTGTACATGAGGAAAAGCCTAAATATCCTTTAACTTATACTAAAATTACAACTTGAATTTATTTCACCTTTTTTTTTTTTCGTTTTAAACGCTGTGTCTTCATATATACATATATATATATATGGGTGTGTGTGTGTGTGTGTGTGTTATTTCTTTAATTACAAAACAACATAGAAGCTGTCATTTGGGTCATTTGTTCAATACATTAAATGAACTGAAATATAGAAATCATAAATAAATCCCACATGATTTAGAAATAAAGCATCATTAGTAAAAATCAAATAAATTTGAACAACCAAACAATTTTTACAATTCTAAATATAATCATTCAATATATAACAATGTGTAATTAATTTCGGAACATGAAATGTCCTTATTTCTAAAATGTTTATTACAGTATCAAAATATATATTTGTTTAATCTAGTTTTGCTTTTAAATTTTTAAATCAACAATTGAATTGCATTTTTATGATGAAGAAAAGTAGAAAAAGGAAAACATTATTATTTGAAGTTTCTTTACATAATATAGCCTGCCTGTAATATAACAATTAGTGGTTATAGAACTTGGTCTAGTTATTAATTAAACTGAATTGAAAAAAACAATGTTTGATATTTATCACTCATTAACATATTTTGATAGATTTATAAATATGTTAGATAAATTTATAATTTAGAAACAGATTTCTAACATCTAACTGAGCATTAAAATGTAATTTTATTTCTTGTAAAATTGAGTTTGAAATTAGACATGTACCAATCTGAAGGTTTCCTTTGGACCTAATATTAAACCAAAGGAAGCATCATTCTTTCAACCAATCTAAAAAAACAGAAATACTTTTATTCTTTTACTGTAATCAACACAAGAAATATTATATCTATCCTAACGTAACATACAATAACTAATCAACAATAAACCTTCCATTAAATGTTTTTTTTTCAATTGAATAGTTTATTATACAATTAAATAGTATTTTACAATTTAATAAACATGAGGAATTAATAATTTTGAATAAGACCCATTCTATAATGACCTGCAGTAATTAAATGGAATTATTATCATTTTTCTGACATTATTTATTCAAATATCATCCAAACAAGCACAAATTCAAGGCAATAACAATCATTATTATTTTTTTTATTCATAATTATTTTTTTCTTCACTAACTACAAATACTAACTTTAATTACAGTTATGTATACATTCATATACATATAAAATTAAAGATCTATTTCCGAATGTTACATGTGCACTAATTAAATGCATCTTAAAAGTATTTTAAGTAAATATCTAGTCCGAGGCAAAGCTTTAAACTTTAAACTGAATTATAAACTCATAGGTATTGTTTGTTTATTAATGATTATTTAAAAAAAAATACACCTTTATATTAACATAAATACTCACAACATTAAAAAAATATATAATCTAAAGACTAGAGAAAAAAGAGACTAATGTTCAAAGAAAATAAATTAGATGTTTCAATTACCAGTGTTACTGAAAATAAACAATATTAAAACTCGGTATATCATTCACTATTTAGCCTTATAAGCACTAATACTACGAAAGACAATCTATATTCAGGAATTATTTAAAACAGTTGAAATATTTGATAACTGAAATTTAAAAATCAAAATCTACTTTAAATCAAATTCTTCTTTATAAATAAACAATGTTAAATAATAGTATTGTTTTAAAATAATAATTAATAATAAAGTAAAAATGTTCTTCATTTATTTTACATCTATTAATTTCATCTCTAAACGACTAAATTTTTTCATCAATTTTCGGCTAAATATATATGGTGGCTAATGGCTTTTTCATATAATTGCGTATTTCCAGAAAAACTGTTTTGCGTTTGTTTGTTTTTTCCAGAAAAACTTTTCTCACTCACCTATAGTTTATTTAACGGAAACATTTTTTAGATGATTCTTTATCTATCCTCAATCTTATCTATTTTCATACCATGATAATATTAAAAGTATAGTAATAAAACCCCTTAGAGCATTAGCCTTATTTATTGCTATTTACATTTAGTTATTTTTTATTCTATTAGTATAATTAATAAATGAGGAGAAAACACATATAGGCAATAAAAGTAATACTACAATATTAAAATTAAACTAAACACTCATTGACATAATCTGAGAATTCTATTAATTGATATCTTATAAAATTTTATTTTTCTAATCTTAGATTTATGACATTACAAGTCACATGAGGAAACAGAAAGGAGAAAAGATAAACATTTTGGAGTCAAACTATTTTTAGTAATATCATATAACTATATAATAATTTCCTCTCTTAAAAAAAAAAAAAAAAATCTCGCTTTTAGTTTTGATCTATTCGGTGTAAACATTTAAAAATAGTGGTTAGAAGAAGATGGTATTTGATAAAACATATTGATTTAAATGATATATCTAAATTTAATAACTGGATGTAATTAATATCATGACAATATATCTTACAAATAACTGTCCATCTATAACTAGTAACAAATAAGTTTATTTTAAACAATCTAGTAATATATATATATATATATCCTTTTTTTTTTTTTTTTTTTTCTAGAGTCTTACTTTATTAAGTTGAGGTTAATGGTGGTGATCATTCATTAGACTGTATTTATTCCTATTCACAAACCTTTTATCAAATTTTGTATCTAACATAACATAAATTTTATATTTATCAAAAATGCAACTTTACATTTTCAATTATAAAAAAAACACTCTGTGGTGACCTTGCCAGGTTTATTTATAAATAAACATATTCCCTTTATAAAAAAAACACATAAAATAGGCGAGTGAGAGTCCATACATAACATCATCTTGTATCAGACTCAAATCCCCTGATAAAGGGATTAGGAGATTTCAGGAGGGTCTACGAGATCATGCCTAGCCAGATACAGACCACCATGTAAAACTACAGCTAAAATTCCATGACTTCCATTTTGAAAGATTTTCCTCCCCTATCATCTTCTTCCTCCTCAAACTCCTCTTGGGAGTCATATTCATCTACCTGTAAATATAAACATCTATTATGATATGTACATTTAGAACAATAGATTGTTTCAATACCTTTTAATTTTTTTTAAATCATGATTGAGCAGTACATTCCATATTTATTCAATTAACTAGATAAACAATTAATTCAAAATAGCAAAAACGTAGAAAGACACATCAATCAGAGTTTAGGTTATAATAATGTGGTATGTGTGATTTGGTTTATGTACTTCTGACTTAAGCAGTTGATTAGGCAATGCTGACAAAGTGATTTTGCTCATTCTTAAAATTCGTCAGTCAACCATTATTATTGATAAAATAGTTTACCTTAACATTAAACCAATTGGGTATTAAAAATAGGAGTATGAAAATTCTTCTTTAATTCTGATCAAAAATTTTGTATATGTAAACGCTGTTTAAGGGAAATTAGGACTTAACAACTTTAAAAATATTCTTCTCAGTTTATGGCTGTATTTTATTTGAAAGCAGTTTTGTTCTTTAGTGTGATTTTTTTGTTTTTATGGTAAATAGATCAGATAAGACCTGATTCCAAAAATTTTCCATATTCCAAGAAATTTGTAGCCATCAAAGACACCATAAAAGTCTAGTGATCTCACACACAGTCAAGCTGCTCATTTACAAAATCTTAACTATATTAGTGCCAACACATGGATAGGATTGTTTGACAATGTTAGGAATGCTAGGAACAGCCCTTCTTCGATTTGAGTGTAACATTTTAAGAAGAATATTTGGCCCAATACTCAATATCAACCAGGAATGGTGAATACGAATGAACAATGAACTGCAGGAGATATATTGAAATGCTGAGGTGAGGATAATAAGGATTGGCAGATTAAGATGACCAGACACAATCACTGGATTACTGGAGAGCATGTATTGAGAAAACTATTAGACAAGCAGATCTATACAACAAGAAGGGTAAACAAACCTAAACTTGGGCTGATGGAGTGGGAGTAGATGCCCAAGCTGTGTCCATGTTTGGATGACTAATCCTTGATACTTCTCAGAGATGACTGGATGTTTAAGTTACAAGAGGTCCTAACTTTAGCCAACTAACTGAAGCCACCTTCCTTTCTCCCCAAAAATAGTAAAATATAACCATGTTTTATAGAAAAAAATAATAAAAACTATCTCTTAAAGTATTATTGTTCATGTAATTACATTTAATAGGACTTCAAGAATCACTTAAAGAAACACCATGTCATATAGGTGGTTAGTTTCTTTCTTTTTTTTTCAAATTAATTATCGTTTTATATATATGTAAAATAAAGCTTTCAGGCTGAAGCCCCCCATAATTAAATCCTGGATCCGCTAGTGATTTGTAGAGGGCAAAGAGTGAAACTAATTATTGTATTATAGTACATAAGAGATAAACATGGTTTAATTTCAATGAAATTTTTACTGCTCTTATCCCATTATATATTTTTCATTTCAACTGAATAAAAAATTATGCACTGAACTTTCTAATTAAATTTTTTTTTATAACGCCGTACTCCGTTCCACATATTTTCCTGACCCTTGGAAACTATCTGTGGTCAAAATGATACATAAACCCAAAAAGCCACCAGGATACCCATCCTCTTACTGTCCCATCTCTCTTTTACCCATCATGGGCAAAATCCTGGAAAAGCTCATCTTAAAACGCCTGTATCCCATCCTAGATTCTAACCACATAATCCCTGATCGTCAATTTGGATTCCACACATCCCATTCCACTATGTCATCGTGTGGTAGGCGTTGTCTCTTCTGCATTGGAGTGCGTAATGTATTACACTAGAGTCTTTCTCGGCGTTGAACAGGCTTTTGATCGAGTCTGGTACCTGGGATTGCTTTACAAACTCCATGAATTCCTTCTCTCTACATATTTTCTTATCATCAGTTCCTACCTTACTGATAGACACTTCAAAGTAAATCACAATAATACCTATTCATCCCTCATTTCTCATTCTGCCGGTGTTCCTCAAGATAGTATCCTTGGTCCTATCCTTCATACAGTTTATACAGCTGATATCCCAACCCATCCTAACACTGTCATCACTACATATGCTGATGACACATGTATCCTGTCAGCCAATAATGACCCATCAATTGCATCGCAAACTCTTCAATCACACATCACAAACCTTAAAGAATGGTATCAAAACTGGAGGATTAAATTAAATCCCATAAAATCATCTTAATCATTCATCGTAAAATTATGACTTGCTGTCCTACAGTATACTTTAATAACACTCCACTTATCCTTGTAGAACAAATCCAATACCTAGGACTCCACCTGGACAAAAGTCTCACTTGGATCCTCATACAAGACTGAAATAACAAGAAACTGCTCGACGTTTCTGCTTACTCCAACACTTACTGGACAAGCGCTCTAAACTTGCAATTAATTACAAAAGACTCATATACATGACAATAATAGGACCTATTTGGACTTACGGAGTTGAGCTATGGGGCTCCACTAAGCCATCAAATTCCTCTCGTATCCAATCCTTACAATCCAAAATCTTTCATAAAATCCTCAATGCTCCGTACTTAGTCACAAATAAAATAATCCATAAAGACCTTAATGTTCCATATGTTTCTGATTTGGCCCAATCCAGATACCTATCCTTCCATAATAAACTTCATAACCATACGAATCCTCTTATTTCTAACCTTGCTTCCTCTTTGATTCCTGATAACCCTCCGAGGTGTCTGAAAAGAAGGTGGCCTCGTGATCTCCTCATGTAGACATATTATTAGAGTACTACCTATGGGTAATTTCTCAAGAAGCGTTTTCATGTGATTATATTCCTCTGTACACATTTACTTGATATATTTATACTTGTACTTGTAGTTGTAAATATCATAATAACATAAAAAAAAAAAATTTTCTTCTGAACCAAGACAGAGTAAATATTACTAATTGTATAGAGCTTAAAACAAAAGTTTTTGTGTTGGTAAAAAAAATTATATATTGAATTGTCTAATTATGTTCCGTTTTATTGCATAATCAAAAGACCTGCGGCCTAAACACACAAATAAACCAATTACAATAACAAACTATCTATTTTATCGTTTTTAAATGTCTTTTTGTTTCACACAACTTACATCCACATCTCTGATCATCTCCTTTGTTGATACTGTAGTGTCTATCCTTCTGATTGCTCCTTGGTGAATGTCAACATCAAGTTTAACAACTTGGAATCTTCTAAGGAGGAAGACCAAAAAAATAGGAAGTATAGTTGAAGATATAATAGCTACAGCTATTCCCATTACCCAATTTGGATACTCCTTTTCCACTGTTTCACCCTAAACATGATAAATTGAAGATATAAAGATAATGGAATATGTAAATAAAAACTTATGAAGACATTGTTTTTAATTTGAATATGTATCTTATTACTTTCATTTATCTATACTTGTGTGTGTATTTGTTAGTATATTTTTTTATTTCTTCCTCCAAAGTACCTTTAATTTAAAATAATTAACCATTTCACATTGTAACTACTAATAAAAAATGATTAAATATAAACTATGAACCAATTTGATGATTAACAAAAGGAGGAATAAGGGATACTGGAACTGGTGGGGGGAACTAGAATGGCAAGTGGGTCCTATGGTACTTTTTACCATCCCTGGATGGCTACCTTGAGCTTGCCGCCATATACTTACCAGAGTGCGAGTGTTAAGATTTATTGCCTGTGCCCTCCAAAAAATGAAAATTAAACAATACATGTGGGAATCGAACCCACAATGTTCAGAACTGGGCACTCTGGGACCCACGTCCCTATTGTCCTTGGCCATCACATCCTCTTAAATATGAGATAATCAGAAATAGAAACTGAGAAATCACAGCTGAGAGCACCTAACTTTTTTCTCCATCTCTCTTTATTTGATCTACTCATGAAAATAAAAAAAAACCTGTACCACTACAACCCATGAAGGGTCTTGGGTTCAGTACTATTTAGGAAAAGCACTGTTTCTATGTCAACAGTTGTGCAAGGAGGTGATTTGACGTCAGGTTTTCTCCCTTAATTAATTATTTAATTAAAGGTACCCACTTTAGAGAGGCTGGGTGTGCCCCAGGAGGGTCTCCCGACCCAGGATCGCCCCACGGCCAATGAAACAGAATAAATAAATTTTCTGCCATGAGCCGGGATTCGAACCTGGGACCTTTAGCATTGGAAGCTCAGTACCCTACCACTGAGCTACCCCACTCCCTAAATAAATAAACTAAGAAGAGGGCTCTATTTGCACTGGTTATACCCTCCTTCATCCCAATGAATTAGTTATTTGTTGAAGTATAGTGAATTTATGGGGGTCCAAAGTGGTATGCTGTGTTATTACTAAGATACCACTTAGCCTCTCCACCACAACTCCTCTTTCACTTGTGTACAGTGGACTCTACCAAGCCGAGCAACCCAGCCTGAGATAACGGTAATCAATCCCTGCAGAAGGCTAGTTCGATGAAACAACAAGAGATAGGAGGTTCAGATAATGATAGGTGTTGTTCCAACTTTACATTTAGCTTCTTTCTCTGGGCTAATAACTCTTAAAAGTGATTTTTTTTTTTAAATTATACAAAGATCAATCACTGGCTTCTAATACAAGACACTAAATGGTTACAACACGGCACTCAATATGGCAAGCAGTTGGATTCTATGAGGATGCTGAGAAAACAGTATGATGGCTGGGGCAATTGGGTCGAGGCTCCTGCACCTTAAAAGGTGCTAAGGAGGAAGGGAAACAAAGAAGATAGTGCATTTACTGCTGTAAGATATTACTAAATAAAAGCAATAAAATAAATATGTAATGGCAGAGTTTCCTAACATACCTTATCTTTATCCCAGGCCGAATAAACTGATTTATTAATGATCCTGAAGATTACGGAAGAAACTAGAATGCAACTCATGATAGCTGGGGCAAGAAATCTCCATGTTATTTGCCAGTACAGGCCAGGTCTATAACCTGTCATGTCTTCTATATCTTGAGTGAACCTGTAAACACCATCCCAATAATAAGGGTGCATCATTCCACTTTCTAACAAATTACTTTTCATGTCATTTGTTCACCATCAATTTACATTAATATAACTTACTTTTCATGTCCATATATGAACATCACTGATAACATTTCTAATAGTGCAATCATTACGAGTCCAATTGTTCCAGCAAAGCTATCAAAAAGCTTGAGCCAGTATTCTCCAGCACCAGAAGCAAAGATGAGACCTACGATGAAACATATTGTGCAAACAAAACCTAGGGAGAAAGAAAGAAAGTATAATCAGTATACATCAATGGTTTTATGTTTGATTGGTAAAAAAAAAATCACAAATTTTTCAGTAACAAATTATCTTCATAAACATTGGTGTGAAAATTTATTTTGAGATAAATTTGTTACCAAGTGAGTTAGAAATGTTAAATTTTAGAGACAACTTAAACCCTATAATTATTATAATTTTTTTATAAAACAACAATTCATTAAGTCTTATTTAGAACATTATTCTGCAATACATTTATATTATTGATAATGATAAATATTAATATTATTGACCTCAAAATACAAGATAGATACACAGTATCTATATTAAATATAGTTATATAAATTAAATTAAATTTTAAATTGGTCCACAATCGTCTCATCTTTTTGTCTACATTCGAGGAATTGCTGTGTTATATATGTGTGCAATGTTGTAATGAGTTCCTGGCGTTTGAGAATTTAAAGAGAGAAAGAAGGAAATATTTTTTTTTTTTTGTCTTGGGGAAATGTTAATTGTGCTATGTATATTGTTTAATATGGTTTTATTGTTGATAACTTGTAAGTGTATTGTTATGAAAGGGAAGAAGAAAAAAAGAAAGAAAGGAAAGATATGTCATATATATATATATAAAATAGAAAAAATATAATATAAAATTAATGTCCGTGTGGATTGATAAGTATGCTGTGTACGAAGCAACCCTATGTAGTATGGCAGCATTACTTTTAATAAAGTATTTCTCTCTATAAAATATTAATTATAATTGGTCAATTCTATAAAACAAAACTTTTTTGAGGAGAAAAGCATATTTTTTCTTCACATTAAAACATAATTTCTAAGTTTTAAAAAAAAAAACATTAGGCCAAAGGTCACCAAATATACACGTTATCACATTATGTATTATTTATTGGACGTTTCGGCTTCATTCAAACATAATTTCCAACTTATTATTGTCCTTATTGTTAATTTGATTTATTGCCTTTATAATAATAAAAACATTTTAATTTCATCAAGTAAAATTAAAAGTTTAAGAATTTTAAAATAAAATTATGATTGATAAAACTATAAAGGTATATTTGAATTAAATTATGCATTGATAAATGGTCTACAAGGAACCACTAGTGTATACAGGATTTAATTTTGCGTGAGGCTTCAGCTAGAAAGATTATATATATATATATATATATATATATATATATATATATATATATATATATATATATATTCATAATTGGTAATTGGTTGACTGTCATGGATAATGAAGAGAAGAATAGTTGGGGTGCTCAGTCAAAAAAGGAAGGCAAAAATAAATTATAATATTTATAACATAAATATATAACATAAAGCATAACCCAACATAAATATTCTGTATCCTCTCGTAATTTCACCGCTTCCAAATTATCCGAACATTCTCTCTCCCTCAATCATTCATTTGACTTCGACAAAACATCCATCCTTGCCACTGTTCTCAACCATGACAAACGACTCATTTCTGAAACCCTCCACATCCAGCTTCAACCAAAGACAATGAATCTTAAATCTGACAAAAACAACTTTTCTCTAACCTATAGCCAAATTCTGAATTTATTAAAACATCCATAGTTATATTCCTTTCCTTTTTGCTGACAACTCCCTTATATATATATATTTATATATATATATATATATATATATATATATATACATATATATATATATATATATATTCACTTTCACTTTCTATTAACTTTCGTTCAACATTCCATAATTTTTCTACATAATATATCTCTCGTAACTATTTAGGCTTCTAGCATTCTTCTAGTTCTAGCTTCGTCCGATAACCGTTACAGATGACGCCACCTCCACATCCCTTCTCTCTCCACCTTCTTTGTAACGACTTCATTCTCACTTTGACATTTTAGGAGAAAGGTACTACTTCTTTTATTTCTTTCTCATTTCAGCTTTTTCAATTTCTTCCCTCCTTCCTTTCATTCCTTTTCTCTGTTGTTAACTCTCTATTATATTATACATTGTCTATACATCTTGATAGACTTTACAATATCTCAATTTTCTATCAAACTACTCCATTCTCAATGTTTTCATTTTACTATTTATTTTATTCTCATTTCTTATATAACTTTATATTTCTTTTTTATGTTTTTACATTTTATTCTAAGATTCCCAATGTAACACTTTTGTCACCCCCTTTTTGATTATGCCTACTTCATCATTCCACACTATGTAACAGTCTGTATTATTTATCTCTTAGTTCTTAGTCATTATTCTAACAATTTTATTTTACTTTATATCTATCTATTTTATTTTTCTTTTATCTAGATCTATTTTATCTAGATCTAATCTATGTTATTTTCTCATTTTTTTTTGTTATTATCTTTTTTACCATCATTACTTAAGTTTCTCATACCTTGTTATCTGGTTATTTTCTTAGCCCTGATGATGGCCTGAACTTCAGGTCGAAACGTCGGCAAATGTAAAAAATAAATATTATAATTTATTTTTGCCTTCCTTTTTTGACTGAGCACCCCAACTATTCTTCTCTTCATATATATATATATATATATATATATATATATATATATATAATTACTTAGGAAGAAAAAGAAAGAAACTGATCATCTATATGGAATAATGTTTTTTGAAGTCCTATTAAAATGTAATTATCTGAACAATAATACTTTTAAAGATAATTTTTTAACATTTTTTTCATAAGACATGATTATATTTTACGATTTTGGGGGCTCCTCCTCCCATAGACCCGCCAGTGCAAGTAGGAACCGAAATTACTTTGTGGAAAAAAAAAACAGAAATCTGTAAATTTTTTGTTTTTGTTATTGTTCTTTAAACCTGAAATATAACTGGCAGAAATAAATACAAAAATTGTCTCACAGTCTTTCATTTTCATTTGAACTAATTGATAAAACCAATGTTTGTTAGTTATGAATATGAAATCATACTAATTTATGATGTATGTATATTTGTCTGTTTTTGATTTCTTATTTTTATATCGATAATTACTTTATGCTTATTCTGAGTTTTTTTATACAAATATTTTAAATATTTATGAATAAGGGGAAATTCATCTTACCAGTCAGATAAGGTTTCCTGATTCTTTTAAAGAAATCAATATCAAAGATGCAAGAGAGCATTCCTTCTAAAATGCCAATCTGAGATCCAATTCCTAGTGACAAGAGCATCATAAAGAATATGACAGCCCAGAAAGGAGCACCAGGCAATTCAACAATGGCCTGGGTGAAGACGATAAAAGCTAAGCCAGTGCCTTCTGCTGCCTAAGGTCATTGAGATAAGTTATCCTGTGTGTTTGAATAATAAAAATAATCTCAATTTATACTTCTTCCAATATAATAATTACCTGATCAAGCTGTTTTTGAAGGTTACATTCTGGAAAAATGAGGCCAGATGCATTTGCTGCCTTGATTTTGATCTCATAAAGCTCTTGAGAAATCTCTAAAGTTGATATTAGTTTATTGTTCATCAGTGTAACCTTGTTCCTAGAATTGTATTAAAAAATTAAATACACCATATCTTCAAATAACAAATTCAACATATCCAGGTTAATCCAGTTGATATTTTCTAAATATTTAAGAGGCATTATGTAAACACTTGCAATGTAACTAAACATTGAATTGGAATATTTTTGTACCACACTCAATTCCAAATAAAATCTAAATTTATCAAATTGTATTTCATGACTGGAGTGCTAGAAATAATGTCACAAGAGCTACTAACTTAACACTTTTAAAGTATCCATTAAATTATGTCAACTGTTATTAATTAAATTTTATTAATGAGATATAGGTTGTAAAATAATTTTTTAATTAAATTACAAAAATCTTTGAAATAATTTAAAAAATAAATTTGTTGTTGCATCATACATTTTTATGGTATAATTAAATTATTGGTTATGTATTATAGAAAATTAGTAAAAACAATTCATTAGTCTCTTCAGTTTCATCTCCACATATAAAATGCAATAACAACCAATGCGGTGGAAAATAAGGTAGGAAACTAAGAGCCTGATTGTTTTTTGTATAGAATCAAAATAATCTAAGAATATAGAATCACAGAATCTTTGGAAGACAGGGATGTATGGTCAAAGTGGCTGGAGGCTCCTCTACGCTGAAAGGTACACAAGGAGGAAGAAGAAGAAGAAGAATCTTTGAAACTGTTAAAGAATAGTAATATGTTATGAGATGATTGAGAAAAAATGATTACTCCAGGTCAGTTGTTGATCAAAAGACTCCTAATTTTTAAGAAAGGTGTACAGAAAGTAAACAGGTAGGCTATTGTGCCAAACTAATGAATGATGTGAATATAAATTAAGGAGATTGGAACTGACAAGATTAAGTTTAGTTATTTTTTTTATGTTAAGCCACAATTTATAGAACACTGCACCTATGTTGATGTGATTTTTGGTGCAGTAAGCAGTGAATGGAATCAGAAAGATAATACAACAGTAAGATGATACGGAGAAGATAGTTAAAATCTCTGGGAAACACCACATGGAAGAAGAGGAGAGTAAGAAGATTTATAAGGAATTTCAATTGATAGGGAATAAATAGACAAGAAGGATATGAAACCATTTACAGATTAATAGCAGGACTAGAAACTTTTTTCAAAAATTTCCACTTTAACAGTTTTGATGAAACTTATTTGGGAAAAGAATTTTAAAACAGAAGTTTTGTGTAATGAACAAAATTCTGGGTTTATCATCAAAGTTTAATTTTTATTTATATAAATTCTTAACAAAAAGTTAGGTAAAATAAATATTGATTGAGCTTAGATTACAGATATGATTTATCTTGAATGAGTTGTTTGATTGTTATATTATCTTTGTTTGATTAACTAAGAATTCATTTTTCATATCATCTGTGGTGCTACAACTCCTTCAGAATCTGTTGAAAGAATAGTAATAATACAGACAGTATCTGTTATGGACTTTATTCCTTTTAATTGAAAAGTTCAATGGGAAAATATTTTAGTTCTGAAATAACAGGAAAACAATTCAAAATAAAGATTTCAGTCATACCAGAACTGACTGAAAATAAAATTCAACTTTTTATTTCAAGCCTTGCTTTAGAGTGTTACAAAATAAAAAGCAATCTTTATAATAATTTTATAAAAAAATCTTGAATTTATGATTATTGAAAATTATCTCAAAATAATATCGAAGAAATTTAAAAAGTTTAAATTCAATTGATAAACATTCCCAAAATATTAAAATCGACAGTATATTCAATATCTACAGCTTTGATAACTTAGTAACACTGCACAAGTATTTTAGAAAGTACTCAGAACGCATGCAGTTCTTTTTCTTTGAAAAGTAGGTCTTAAAATCATGGAATAGTATTTTAACATCATCGGTATTATGTGTTCCGGTTAACACAAATTCACATTCACGTGATTGAAGAATTGACATTTCTAATTAAGATTTGCATGATCGAGTTAAATAGTTATTCATATTTCATAAATTCTTTATATTTTTTTTTTGGTTTGCCATCGATGCTTTAGTGGAATTTCGTATGATTAATGGCCACAACTACTCAAAGAAACATTTTTATAAAGTAGGAGTGACAGACTCTCCACTCTGTAATTAATGCTATTCAGGAGAAAGTTTGGATGCAACACATTTAAACATAAGCTCAGGCTTATTGGACATGATAAATATAACACAGTCAGAGAAATATGACCTTATTTTTAATTAATAAACTTTTTGGTTTTAGCTAATGTTTATTTATTAAACAGGTACTATTTAACTCAAAATAATGACAGTGGAAAATCTTATGGCTAGAGAACAAACACCTTTAAACACGTAAGTAAAAGCCCTCAATTTAACTGATTTCTGTTCAAGCAGGACTTTCAGGGGGTGAATTAAAAACACTAATAGAGAGATAGGTGTCCATCTTTAATTATGAATATATATATATAGATACAGAAAAAATAAACAATAAATTTTTTTTATCAACAAAAATTACGAATAACAAATAATCCAAAAAAAATATATCACTTGTACACATGAAATATTTAACTTGCTTTTAAAGTTAAAAAAAAATATCCAAATTAAAAATTATAGATTAATGCCCAACATTGGAATAAATAGATAGTATCTGTTATGGACTTTATCATATCAGTAATTTATTTTAAAGATTTGTTGACTTACCAATGGTTACAAACGTTCTATAACTATGGATCTTCATGGACCTATTAAAGAAAATCTAAGATGGAACATAAAAACAATTTTACATAAATATTGATTTCCCTTATTACATGTTAAAACATAAAAAATAATAATCATAGTTCCAGTTAATTATATGAATTTCATATATAAATAACATTTCTAAGTCAATAGACATCTTTACCATTTCCAATGTAACCCTTTCCAATTCAATTGCAACTTTTTACATTTCAATTGTAACACAACCATGTATGATTAATTCATACATATTGTGTTTTATTTATTTTTATTATTATTAATAATTAACTAAATTTAATAATAATTAATCAATCATTTATGAAGAACAATGATATATACATAAAATGATAAACACATAGAATGCTGTGTGTTCATTTAAACTTTTTTTCTTATAACTTTAATCAAATAAAATTTTGCAAAGTTGTAACATTTACTAAATATTAGGATTCTAAAATCTTTAATTTGTAATGAAATACTGTCCGAGAGCTAAAGTTAATATTGAAGTTACTTACTTGTACATACATTTGTCAACGTTAGACATGGCCTTAAATCCAAGAATGGCAAACACAACTAGACTGGCATAGATGGCTGTGATAGCATTAGTGATAGATACTAGGATGACATCTCTAACACAATTATTCTTGGGTGGGTTATAGCTTCCAAAAGCAATGAGAGATCCAAAAGCTAAGCCAAAGCTGTAAAAGACTTGGGTAGCAGCATCCAACCAAACATTGGGATTGAGTAATTTCTCGACCTGTTGAAAACATTGTACTGAAAATATTGAGAACGATTTTCAGACCTTTCTTCAAAAGTCTATAATAATAGACAAATATTTGTGTAATACAATTAAATTAAAGCAATTGGAATTTTATGGTTACTTAGCCCAGCTTACATACCTTAGGAGTGTACATATGCACGAGGCCAGCTCCAGCACCCTTAAGTGTTATTCCTCTCACAAAGAATATTGTAAGAACAATGTAAGGGAACATTGAAGTGAAATACACAACCTGAAAGAAAAATAGTTACATCATAATCATATAGTTTTTATTACTTATTACCAAGATAATAAAATTACCTTTCCAGAAGACTGTATTCCCTTCATCACGATGAAGAATACCACCACCCAAGCTAGTAGGAGACACAAAACAATCCACCATTTGAGACCTCCTGTCTCATCGATGGATGGTGATACATCTAGTGTATCTCTATACCAGAAATATGCAGTCTCAGAACTCCTGATGCATTCTGGTTCAGGCTCTGAGACAGTTTCGTTAAATCGTTCAGGACAATACGACCATGGCAGTGGACTCTGAGAAACATGCATAATTTTTGCTGTAGGACCATAATTAACAATACAAACTACTGCAATTTTAAATAGACAATTATATAATTATTTAGGAGGAATCTAAATTTTCAAAAAAATATTAAAATAAAATTTTATTCTAATGTTAGATATACAATATTATGGATCAATTAAGAGAAGAGAAATATACTCACTCGGAATGAATTAAATAAATAATAAAAGCACCATGTTATTATGACATTATAGTACAATGCTACAAAAAAGGTAACTGTACAAGAAGCCACACCTGAAAAAAATATTCATAATGTTAAAAAAATAAATTATTTTATAATAACATACAAAAAAAAAAAAAATAGTAGAAATTTAACAATTGATGAAGAACACTTAATTTTTTATACTGCAAGCTGATAGAATTAAGTTATAGCAATGTATAATGATCGTATTATGTTATTATATTTATAATCCTGTAATTGTAAAGTAAATAGTTTTTCAGTTATCACTTCCTATTGAACAAAAAACTTTAACAGCTTTAAAGAAAAACAACACGTAATTCAATTTACTCCTTCCATGTTTGAAATGGGAACGTAGCTCAAATGATCTTTTCTGGTGCATTTGAGGCCAACTATTAGTTGCTTGGGTTTCAGATATAATTTATGTTACATTCTGTATATTTATTGAACCTATAATTTCTTTATCCGACAATCGTCAGAATAGATACCAGTTTAATCAAAGTTGGCCGTTGTTAAAGTGTGTCCACAATAAGACAAATTAATTAAGTAAATGTGAAGTAATATTGGTGTATAAATCAAATGTTAACAGCCATGTTGTAAATCTTATAATTCCATAAAATATTCTCAACCTATATGCTTACCTAGGCCACCTAGCCATGGATGGATTGTGTTCCAGACACCAACTGCACCGAGGCGCATCTTTTGTCCTATTCCAAGTTCAATTAGGAAAAGTGGAATACCCTCCAGGACAAGCATTATCAAAAAAGGTATGAGAAATGCACCTGAAACAAATTTAAGTATATCTAATGTGATATAGAGTAAAATAATGGTGGTAAAAAATATGAAAAAATCTTGGTTGAGCCCATATGACCAGAAAGTTTTGTATTTACTGTCTATATAGTAAGTAGGAATACTGCACCCAAAAAAGAAAATCTACTAGAAGTGAGAAAAGTTGGCCAAAATTCGAATTATATTTTTTAATTTTTTTTACAAACAGAAAGGGGGCAATCCGTCCTCCATCTCTACACCCACGGTATCATGGGCATATCACAATTTTACATACATTTTTCGATATATTAGTCATTAATTCTTAGATACTTTTTCGATCAAATTATCAAAATTCCTAATTAGGCAAATGCTCTTTTGGTTGTCTGATTCTGTAGATGTAATGATCTACTTCTAGAATATTGAGACCGATGTTTCTGAAAATCCTATCAATGTTTATTTACCAACATTAATGTCGACAGATGGTATAGTCAAGACCATACAATTTTGTTCCTATCAACAGCTTTATTTATTTATAGTATTTGTACTTTTAATACATCCCTATTTGTAATAACCTAGAAAGAAAATTATAGATGGACAGTACTTGATTACTTTTCACAATATGAATACATTTAAAGTAAAAGCAATTGGGTGCTTTGGGTACTCGGTCCATTCCAATTACTTCCTATAAATTGGTAATCACGCTGTCAGAAAATGACAGTAAGTAATCGTAAATTATGTTTGATTATACAAAGTACAAAGCTAAACAGAAAAAAAATCTTTCTTTTTATAATGATGAAGTTATTGAACTATGAAAAAATATTCAAATAATTTTGGCTGATTAATTTTTTTAATCAAATTTATATTACTTATACTCTTCTGACAAATGTGTGAATACTTTTAGAAAGTATTCAGAATGGGCAGTGTACCGAAAGATGTCAATTAATACTATTCACCTAAAAAAATACACTTATGAAAAGTAATCGAGTGCTGCTCATATTTAGTTTTATACGTGGGTTTTGCAAATGCACTAGGATAGCTTGTGGAAGGAAGTTAATTTAATGCACCAGAATATATTTTCTATGGTTAGGCTACCATTTTCTGGATTATACAATCGGCGGGCAACATTTTCACTGAGACAGGACTAAATTCATGGATTTGAGGACATCTATGGTGTAAGTTTAGACTTTCTACTTTGCAAAGGACAGTTGTACAAGTAAAGAGAAGCACATCTATACGCCAAAATACAAAATACAAAATACGCCTAAACTGAGAAAGAAAGTAGTTTTAGGTATATTTTGTTACTGCCAGCACTATATTACTTTCACTTACGTATATGTATATATGTAATATATAGTAAGGGTTAGTATTGCGATCGTGAAAATTTTCGAATCTCAGTTTTCAACGGAAATACATGTTTTGAGGTCCCCTGAGTTCAAATAACCAAGTGTCGCAAAATGGTCTGTGTTTGTGTGTGTCTGTCCGTGTGTGCGTGTTAACAGTCTAGCTCATAAACGAAAAGTAGTACGAAACTGATATTAAGTATTTAAGGTTTGTATGTGGACCGGATGTGACAGCAACTTTTTCGTTAAAATCGGCTAACCGGAAGTGCCACTTTATATGAACGCTGAAACACATTTTTACAATTTTCTCAAAAACGGCTCCAACGATTTTGATCAAACTCGGTGTATCATTGTATAATTAAGTGGTCTTTAATATCATTTAGGTTTTATCCCCGTTGATGTCACTTTACATGGCTTAAATGCCCAATGCTCATATATGTCTTCCTCTAAAGTACCTTTAATATGGCTTATTTTAAAAAGTTAACCATTTCGCATTATTCAGAGTTACGAAAAAATGCTACATATAACTTTTGAAAGGATTTGATAAAAAAAAATAAAAATGCAGAAAAACCTGTGTTGCTATAGACTGTAGCGCCTAAACGAATGTACCGATTTCAATGAAACTTCGCTAAAGTCATTTTCTCAACACCCTTTAAATTTATCTATATAACATACTTCAACGAAAAGGAGCTGGAAAAAAAGTTACGAGGGATGTTAAAATTAAATTCCGAATAACTCAAAAAGTATGCGCTTTTTTGGGTGATATTGTATATGGTTTTTTAGATGTTTATGGAATTCCAAAAAAAAAAATCGTTAAAATCGGACAATTAGCAGAAAAGATATGGTCTCTAGTTTTTTTTCCCTGAAGAGGCGAAAATTTGGATAAATTTAAAATATACTTTTATAATTGTTGAGACTAAAAAAACTTTTTTTCTACAGATATTCAATAAAGTATCTTTCCTAAGAACATCTTTCATAAGAAATAAGTACCTAAATTTATACCTTTATTCTCAGTTTTATATTTCAACACTACAATCACCACCTCCGGAATCAACTTACTCACTGTCTGCATAGATAACTTTTTTAAAACTAAAAATATCACTAAAATGACATTACTCAAAAATGTTGAAATTGGAGTTAATCATTCTGTGGTTTATAAAAGCAAAAAAAGTTGTGTGGTTTATAAAAGCAGATGGAGTGACTAGATTTTTATTGCCTGTGTCGATATATTAAATAGACATTTTGTAATTATAATGGTCTTAATGACTTGTTATCTGTAAGCTTTAAGCTTTAGCTCCGTTTAAAATGCACTTCAAATAATTTTATAATAGCCCACCATTGGCAGAAAATAATTTTTATTAAAAGTAGATCGGTAAGTGAAAGTTGTGTGTGCTCGCACCAGATTTTTTTTCTATATTATTAATATAATGTTTGTCATATTATTTTTTTAAATATTTGTCAACACTACGCACATCTATTAAATGAAATTAGCATTTAAATACATGATTGATCATTAAAAAATAGAAATATCAACAACAACATAGCTATATCCCATATATATTGCTAAATCCTACGGAGATATACATCCCTAAAAAACTCAGTGTTATAAAATCCATTTTAAACAATAGAAGAGGGATTACCTAGCATTGAAGTGAGTTATCGAGGCAAATTACAGATAATGAGGGGTGCCCAGAAGAGGTTTCATGTACCCATAGGGGTGACTTTAATCGAAAAAAAAATTCATTGTCTACTGAAAATAAAACATCGCACATTTCTTCTGATCGTTATAATATGCCTTAAGCCAGATAGTTTAAACGTGCTAAGAAATTTAATGGATACATAAGAAAATAGAAAAACTTTGATGGCTATATGAAGGTGATCTCTTTATCCGAAGCCATGGTAAATAAAAATATGGCGAGTTCTTCGACTCCAATTGAAGAATACAAACATGAAAATTATTCAGTCTAATCAAAGTTAGTGACTCGTAGTGGGGATAATAAACAATATTTCTTACCAGATGAAGTCTTGTTTTAAATTCAAACAACCTCAAACCCTTATTGACATAAAACCTTGTATTGGTGGCCATTGATTACTGATTGAGTAGGATTGCTCATGTTTTTCCGACTAAAGAATAATGTGGTCGGTAATCGATATTTTATAGATTTTCAGCCAGAGTAGAAATAAATATTCAATGGACGAGTATCAAAGCGGAACGAACAGTCAGCACGTCAAGTCTGACCATTATCATCTCCATAGTTTTGATATGATTCATTTAAGGTCCGTTTAGACATTTCACCAACTATAGGAGAAATAAATATTTGTTTTTTCTATTGGCATTACAGACCTAGTAAATCTTTTGCCGCCTTAACAAGCCTACCCCATCTCTGCCTATCTTGGGTTATTTCTTTTCAGTTATCTGCACGCAGCTCTATTGCCTCTTTATTCATATATTGTCCTAAGGATAGAAGAGTATGCTGTGTATATAGCAACCCAATATAATTGGGCAGCAATCCTTTATATTTTATATTTTATGAAAATAAAGTGTTTCTCTCTCTCTATCTATCCTTCTGCTATTGGGCTTCTACGTGGTCATTTGCCTTCCATTGAAATATTCATTATTATGTAGAGGCTTTCAGATGGATTGCTCCGAGCTACATGCCCTGCCCATCTTAACCTCCGTGCCTTCATATCATAAGATATTGATTGACCAGTTTCTGTAAGCAGCTATTTATTGGTCTTTCTTCTGCGTGTGTTAGTACGCTGATCGCAGATAGCTTCGGTTTTCGTGTGGGGGATTTTTCTCTCATATCTTTCAATACTTTTCTCTAGGGCGGTGGTTGGTGTCCAGGTCTTACAGCCATATACAAAAATGGTTATTTTACTATGCTAGAATTTTTTATTTTTGTTTTTGATATTTGTTATCTTCTGTCGGATTTAGCAATAATATCGCTGTTAATTAAGTTACATAATTGTGTTGCCCATAGTTTGTGAAATGTCTAAACACACCTTTATGATGTTTTGATTTGTTAACCTTTATGGAGAAAAAAAATCTGGTGCGCGGAACACACAACATTCACTTACCGCTCTACTTTGAATAAAAATTATTTTCTGGCAATGCAGGACTTTTAAAAAAATTATTTGAAGTGCATTTTAAACGGAGCTAAAGCTTTAAGTTTACAGATAACAAGTCATTAAGACCATTAAAATTGTAAAAAGTCTATTTATTATATCGACGATAGGCAATAAAAATGTAGTTACTCCATCTGCTTTTATAAACCACACAACTTTCTTTGCTTTTATAAACTCCAATTTCAACATTTTTGAGTAATATCATTTTATTAATAGTTTTAGTTGAAAAAGAATGCAGACAGTGAGTAAGTTGATTCCGGAGGTGGTGATTGCAGTGTTGAAATATAGAACTGAGAATAAAGGTATAAATTTAGGTACATATTTCTTATGAAAGATTTTCTTAAGAAAGGTACATTATTAAATACCTGTACAAAAAATGTTTCTTTAGTCTCAATAATTAAAAAGTATATTTTAAATTTATCCAAATTTTCGCCTCTTCAAGGAAAAAATCTAGAGACCATATCTTTCCTCCTAATTGTCCGATTTTAACGATTGTTTAGGAAATTCCATTTTAAAAAACTATATCAATAAAAAAGTGTATACTT